AGCGGAAAACCTTAAAACAATCTGAGAAAAGGCCCGGCGAAGACTAGATCCCTTTCGAAAAGAAAGGCGTATTTAATTTAAAGCAGAATGAGCAGCCTTACCCTGTGCACGGAGGATATCGTAGATGTTGAACGCGAGGAAAAAGAAGATCATCTCCAAACAGACGAACATCTTACTGAAATCCCGAAGTACATCGTGAAGGAGAACATAAAGGGGAGTCTGCGGCACTGACAAGCTCCATGGGTCGCGCTCCGGGGCTTCGCTCCCAGCTCTGTAGCGGTTCGCAGGCCGGAGCGGGGAGATGGAGAAGCGGCCTCCGCTGGCGGCGCCGACTGAGCATGTGCGGGAGGGGAGCGCTCAGCCTGGGCCGCCTGAAAGCGCCTGCACTTTATTATAAGGCGAGGAGCGTTTAGCGCACTGATAACTGTCTGTAAGAAAACTAACAGGGGGAAAAGCCACGGCGTTAGTCCCTGGCAAAGCACGTATCCCTTCCTGTCACTTTAAATCCGCGGTTCTCAAACTTCTTGATCTAAGGTCCGCATCAGAATTTTTTTTTTCAGAGCCGTGGGCGTCGCTAGGTCCGATCCCCCCGGGAACTTTAACCCTGATGCCAATCTTCCTTCACAAAAAAGTCCAGCCCCAAACTTGACTTAGCCCCCGGTCTTTTCAACAGCTAGAAACTCCCCTGCTTCAGAGTCAGAGGTCTGGAATAATTTTCAACAACAAAACAGCATTTATTGAACGTCAATGAATTAACAATAACCTTCGATATAGACGTCGATATATAATAAAAACGGGAACTTCTTAACACTCACTGATCGTTCCGACGTTTGTAAAATAAATTATTCCCTCACGTTCTGTCAGGGTGGGTTGTTATGACGAGTGACGTGTGCGAAATCTGGGGGCTCTACATTGTGTTTTCGTACTTCAGCCCACGGTGAGCCTTGTCACCTTTACCATATTGATTCATTAAATGCATTATCTTTTAGATATGCTCACTGCATCGTCTGGGTATTTACTGTAGCAGATGTTTTGATGGTTTCTGATTCCTTGCACCAAACTGGGTAGCTTTTCCTGAGAGTTCGTGCGTGTGTCTGTGCCTGTTCGTGTCGGGGTGCGGCGTCATTCTCGGGAACGCAGGTAGGAGGATCGTCAGGGAGGCTTGAGCAACACCAAACCATCTCAAGCGACACCCCGGATAAAAAAGTAAAGTATGGGTCAGTGGCAGCACATCGGTACAGAAATACCACACTGACCCCCAGCCGTGCCCGCTGTTCTGCCATCAGAGGCATAAGTCCGCTGCTGTTGGACTATGTACCACACTCCTGCAGGCAGCCTCGTTGGACTTTCAGTCTTCAATAGATATGACGTCATGTGTCCCTTGCAGAAAGAATGCCTCAAATTTTCTCTGGTGTTGTAACTGCTAAAGATGGTTAATTTCATAAATGAAAGATATGACATTTTCTTGCTAATAAAGGTATTCAAATGAACATACTGTAAATCTATTTGTTAGCAAAGAATATTGGGTGTATTTTTTAAAAATGTTAAGGGTAATTTGCAAATGTAGAAAATCTGTGTGTGTAAAAACTTTTGACTGGTAGTGTATTTTCAATTCATTAGTCTAAGCCTTTTAATATTTTTGCTTTTATAAAATTTATTAAACTTTAACTTATTAAACTTAGGACCGAATCAGGGTACATTTCACTACATGTTACACTTGTATAACTGTGTATGTGACGAATTAAGAATCGTGAATCTCTTTAATCATGAATCTGAGAGGTGTTTCGGGTAAACAAACATCCGCCTGATGCTGCGTACTTAAGGGTGGGGGGGGGCTTGACCCCTAAATGCTTTAACTTTGGGCTGAAAACAAAAAGCAAGACACATTCATTATTGTGAGGTGTGACTGATGTGGGAAGCAGAAGGACGGCTGATGCTTTATGTTGTGTGAATTACACCGTCAGCACCGGGGCGATACGGGTCTAACAGACACTGAAGGTGAAGTGCTTATGAGACGCTGAGGGCCGCTACCATCAAGCCCACAATGTGCAGTTATCAGGGCTCTGCCAGCTGTCATGCCTCTGGTGTGACACGCGTTCAGACTCTCACACTCACGTTACATACACGCAACTGTTACATACATGTAAATGCGTGTGCAGACTAGTCTCAAATTGAAAATCTCACACCAGCCAGCTGACCAAAGTTGGCGACCCTGCACGGTGTGTGTTAAAACCTTCGTAACTCTGGCGAGTGTCACAAAGACCTTGACAGTCATGGAACTGCAGACAGTTCCACAAGGTCCCAGAGTGTCTTACTGGGGACAGAGCAGATCCCAGCCCAAATGGAGGCCTTCTCTGGGCTACTCACTCACCGGCATGTCCTTTGCTTAATCAAAGGGTTTCTGAGGAAATCTAATCATTATCTAAACTGGCGCAATCATATATCAATGAATGTCTAATTCCCATGACGTCACTTCTCAGAAAAAGCCTTCATGCTTCACAAAAGGACCAAAACAAAGGGATGTTTTTTCATACATTCCATTTCAAATGTGCTTTACACATGTAGTCAAATGCAAGCTAACAGATGCAGTGTGCAGTGTGCAGTGTGACACCCGGCCTAGGAGAGGAGGACATGGGGTCCATGGGTCTCGGATGAAGCTGCCATTGTTCCTGTAAAGGAGTCTGGGTGGTTCTCAGCACCTAGACCGCAAAGATCGTACCTGTGGTCTTGGCAAGAGCAATCTTGCTATCTTGCCTCCTAAGAACAAACTTGGGGTGCAATGAATCATGGGATTGGTCTCATTTGGCAAAGATGCAACCAATGTACCCTTGATATTTGAGGAGGGGCAAGAACGGCATCCGGGGATTTTTACCCTCCTCTGTGCATCTGTTCTTAGTACCGAAACTGGTCTTCGGCAGTGGAAGGTGACGTAAGACGGGTCTGCGAGAACACGAGTACGTTAAGTGTGCATACTGAGAAACACCTTCTGTCTGCCTGCATTTCTGTCCCTGGGGCTTGTGGAAAAGCAGGCAGGACAAGGTAGACAATGAATAGCAATGAGCAAAGACAGCATCACATTTACAGCAGAGACCTACAGCAGCTCTGCGATCTGGAACACTGTACTAAGGCGTTTGGAACTGGCGTTTCCTGATCACTTCGTGTATTTAAAGCACATGGAATTAACGTTAACCTACTGGTCAAAAGAAGAAACCGACAGAAGCCGTACGAGTCATTTACCATCTGTCTTTTCTTGAAGTAAAAATGAGTAGCAGCAACATCCTATCTGTGGTTTAATGCACTTTCCATTGTGACTAAGTGCATCTCTTTCAGTTCCTGTCCGCACTTCCATTAGGCCTTTCACAGGAGCTCTATTAATATAAACCCCATCATCTCAGGAGTGCTGCACTCAGCCGAGGTCACGCGGATCACTTATTCAAGTGTGGGTTACGCAGAAGGTTTTCCTCAGGAAATTAATGACTGCAGCTGAAGTCCTGTGGTATGACGTCCCTCCCGGGTGGGGGGAGGTAATGCCCCCCCGCGTCTGCCGCTCTGGGGTGTAGGTGGGGGGCAGAGGGAGTGATCACCAAACAATAGGCTGTACGAGGAACCCGCAGAGCGAACAGGAAGCCCAGTGACAGGACACAGCATAATAGGATACGGTGTTTATGGGTACGCTTTTGCACGACTTATCAGATATCTGACAGTGACACACACACACACATATATATATATATATATGAAAAAAACCAACCCTTGTCAGTGGGAAGGCCTTCCGGAAGGGGATCAAACTGGGAATACTGAGGTGATAATGTGCACTTGAGGGTCATTTCCTAAATTTGAAATGACTCTTCACCGTTCTCAAAACGGAAGTCTGACTACTCATGCAAGCGACGCAAAATGACAGGATTCATAGAGAATAACGAACGGCGGTTAAATTTGACTTTGTTGTTTTACTGTTTATAGTGGTGAAATGCTTCCAAAAATCTGAAGAGCAGCTGATCTGCATGAACTCCTCGCTGTGCTGTGCGAAGGGGCCGGCCTCGGACCGTCCGGAACCGCGCGCTGTCTGGACGGGAAGCATGTGTCACTTTGAGAAGATGAGTAACGTTTGGCATCAGGGCTTCATAAGACGGCAGTCAAAACGCCGCACATTCAATATAAATGAAGATACACTGAGAATGAAAGAGTCCGTCTGGCATTATGGACAGGCTGAGCCCTGTGGGGGCACGGGGGGGTGGATTTGGTCTAGTTTCTGTGTTGCCACGGTGACCTGAGCCTAGAGGTCAGCCAGCCTGTGAAGTCCAGCTGGACCTTGTTAGCTCTATGGGCTCGGTGGAGGTATGGGGGGGGGGGGTCAGCTGTAAGGCCTGGGGGGGGGGGGGGGGGGGGTTAGGGGGAAATGGGGGGGGGCAGGAAGAGGGGGGGTCTCCATGTGTGCTTTCATCAGCTGACCTTCTTTGCGTCTGAGTGTTTCTTTCAGCAACTTGATATGAGTGTTTTTCAAGTTTGTCTTTGTTTTTGTCAGAACCCCCCATCCTGCCTGGTGGCGGAACGACCTGCCAGTCACTCTGAGGGCCGCGCCACCATTCCTGTGGCGACGGTGCCCAGATGACGGAGAGGGCTCCGCCCTGCTTCTCCCGTGGCCGTCCCTGTGGCTACGGTGCCCAGATGACGGAGAGGGCTCCGCCCTGCTTCTCCCGTGGCCGTCCCTGTGGCTACGGTGCCCAGATGACGGAGAGGGCTCCGCCCTGCTTCTCCCGTGGCCGTCCCTGTGGCTACGGTGCCCAGATGACGGAGAGGGCTCCGCCCTGCTTCTCCCGTGGCCGTTCCTGGACTTTTAAAACAAACCGCTGTTCAGTGCCATTTAAGAGATACGTTTTTAGCGTATTGTACTGTAGTCTGAAGTCCAGGCATTTCTTTTGTGCCCAGAGGGATACAATAGCTGGACTTAGCTGCCTCGCCAGTGTTCCCAGGCATCGTCATTGCGGCAGCTTTGGGATTCACGCTTCGCTTTGGCAGAGTCCCGTCAGTAGCTTATTGACGACCCCTTGCTCCCTCAGTGCCACGCGGTCCGTGTCTGGTTTTCTGAGCAGCACGGCAGCCTGTGCCGTGAAATGCACGTGCTTATGAGGGGGCTGTAAATAATAACGTGACACAAACGTGGGTGAGGCTGCCTGTGTCCCCCCTCCCTGAGAGGCCCCATGACCCTGCAGTCCTGACTCGACCCACTGCTGTCACACTACTCACCGTTTAACACCTGGCACAGTCACGTAGGTGTTAGGAGAGAACAAAAACGTGGAGTGGATGTGGCCGGACTGGATGGGGAGCCGCTGTTAATACTAAGTAGGAAACTCTGGCCATGTTGTATTTTAAATCTGCTATTTTTTTTAAAAAACACATTTATTTAAGCCAGTGAGTACAACACACACTTTCTCAGGATTATTAGCTTTTGGAACCAAAAAAACACTGATTCTTCTTTTTCAGTGAGGTAAGCGAGACCATTTTTTGTTACAATGAAACAGTGTAAATGTAAAAGTCCCACTACTTTCACCTGAATGTTGATAACGTATAAAAAGTCACTTATACACATCATTTTATTCTTCAAGCAGTTGGTTCCTAGTATGGAACCTTAAAATTGTTAATAAATGAAACCTGATGCCTTACAGAAATACTACTATTAAAGGCAATATCACTCTGCACAGTAGTTTTTGTGTCTTCATTAAAAAAATCTAAAATGAACCACTTGTTTTAGTAGTATTATGCTATGCTGTATAAATTAAAACACTGAACGTAATTTAAATATAAAAAGGTGTGAGTCCAACACCACAAACCCTTAAAACCCCTTTAAACAGGAACATGTTGAAGCCTGTGGGATGAAACAAACATTTTAAATGGTGCTGAGTGATTGGTTAAGAAGTAATTAAAGGTTCTCTTACTAGAACACGGACAGGAACGTTAATTAGCTGCGGCGAGGACATTTGTCTTCCTAAATTAATGTCATTTAAATCCAAAATTAATGTCAGAAGCTGAAGGGGGGGGGGGTGAGCAGACAGCAGGAGGGAGAGGGCGAGTT